CTTTCTTTTTTTTTTTTTTAGTTGGAGTCTCACTGTTGCCCAGACTGGAGTGCAGTGGCTGCTCCCGGCCACCTCAGCCTTGACCTGCTGGGCTCTGGTGATCCTTCCGCCTCAGCCTTCCAAGTAGCTGGAACGACAGGCGCGCGCTACCACGCCTGGCTAATTTTTTGATTTATTGTAGAGATGAGGTCTCGCCAAGTTCCCCAGGAGGGTCTCGAACCCGCGGGCTCAGGCAATCCACTCACCTCAGCCTCCCAAAGGCGCGAGATTACAGGCTGAGCCACTGAGACAGGCTTTGAGCATGTTTTCTACTTGACACTTGGTGCTGTCTCTTCCCAAGTGGGGAGGAGTGGTTTCCTCTAAGGGGACAATGCCACGAGTATCACCTGGACCCAGGAAGCAGAGCATATCCTCTAGGGAGAGCTCTCAGGTCCACTCACCCCTAGCAATTTTAAATTTCAAAAAGATTATTTTTTAAAAAAATATATTTCACTATAGAGCATAACCACACATTTGGACAAAAGAGAAAAAAGGAAAAAAAACCAATATAAGCACTGTTGACATTTTGTGAGATTTCCTTTCCATAGCTTTCACCTGTATATGGCTTTCTATTTCCACGTATTTCCAAGTGGTGCAAGTAGCTACAACCACATTTCCTATCCTGCTTCTTGTCCCTAAATATGACTCCATAGGTATTTGTATTAGTCTTTCACCACCATCATTTCAAGAGCTGTACAATAGTCCATGGGTGATAGTATACTTAACTACTGCTCATTTTTTTCATTTATTTCAATCAGTTCTTTATATGTTTATGTGTTGCATTCTGCTGTAATTGTTTTTGCCTATCAGGCGCTGTTGTCTTTTTCACATTTTCTTTAAAATAGTTACAGTAGCCACATTAATTAGGTAGGGGCTGGATGGGTGTACCTGGAAATGTTAAACCTTTTCCTCTAGGGAATTACTACTCTATTGCTTCTAAACTTGGAAAGTCCTCTCTTGGTTTATAGAAAGTTTCGAGATGGCTTCAAAAAAACCCATCTGGAGTCAGTTTGGAAGTAGGGTATGAAATAGGGGGCCAAAATATTTTTCCCCCCAAATTACTAGCCAGGTGGTCCACCATTATTTGTGCACAATCTTTTCCATTGGTTTGTGATTCCTTTTAAAATCATTTCCTTCGTATTTAAAATAGTACACCTGTGTCATGTTGTTTCTCTAATGTGTCTCTTTTGCATCAGCTTTATACTATTTAAAAAGTCAGGCCTCAGCTAGAAGAGGAACTTGGCCCAGCTGAAAAGGAGAGATCTGCTAATGGCTATCCAGACTTCACTAAAAAAACCCCCAAGGCATTAAAATAGAAAAAGTGAGTTGAATACAACACAGCAGGAAGACGGGACACCCATGCCTAACGCAGTGGGCACGCGGGGTTGGGACTGAACTAAGGAGGGAGTGGTGGGAGGAACTGTCTGGGTGGGAATTCAGCAAACGCAGCAATGATCTGACAGGCAAAAGGAGTTCTCTGCTGAAACCAGCTATTAATTTGCAAAAAGACTATCTGGGAAAACATCTCTAATCAGCTGAGCAAGAATGAAATCAATTAAAAACAAGGCAGGCTGATATTTTGAATGGAATTAACGATCTGGCAGATTAGGGGAAAAGCAGCAGGTGTCACATATTTAGGCAGCAGTGCATTATTTGTTCCCGTACCTCAAGCTTCTATTGGAAAAGTGGCTCAACCAGCCTTCAGTAATTGGGTAGGCGAGATGTGTGACACCCAGGATTTGCTGTTATGAGAACAATCCCAATTAAAAGATTTCTTTTAAAAATGCTTTGAGGCAACCCCCTCGGGGTCTCCTCCCACTGTGGGAGCTTTCTTGTTCTCCCAATAAATCCTGCTTAAAAAAAAATAAATAAATAAAAAATGCTTTGGAAGCTGGCACTGGCTCATGCCTATAACCCGAGTTTTGGGAGGCCAAGGAGGGAGGACTGCTTGAGGCTAGGAGTTCGAGACCAACCTGGGCAACATAGCAAGAACTCACCACTGCAAAAAATAAAAATAAATTTAAACAATTAGCTGGGCATGGTGGTGCATGCCTCTAGTTAGCTACTCTGGAGGCTGAGGCGAAATAATCACTGAAGCCCAAAGTTCAAGACTGCAATGAGCTATAATGGCACCACTGCTCTCCAGGCTGGTGACAGAGACCTTATCTCTAAAGACCTTATCTTTATTACCCAGACTGGAGTGCAGTGGCACGCTCACACCGTGGCCTCAATCTGCAGGACTCAGGCAATCCTGTCTCAGCCTTCCAAGCTGGGACTATAGGCCAGTGCCACCATGTCCAGCTAATTTTTTTTTAATTGTGGAGACAAGGTCTCACCACATTGCCCAGGCTGGTCTCAAACACCTGGGCTCAATCATCTCACCTCCGCCTCCTGGCTCTTTGTCTCTAAACCAAACCAAACCACAGTAGGGTGGGATAACGGGATCCAATTTTGGTCTCCCTAACATTTGTATGACATATGGTGAATCAACATCCTGGGGTTAGGGAGAAACCCTTAATTTGGAAGTATATCCCAAGTATCATCATGGGGTAAATAATTCCTCCCCGAATATTGGCATTTCCTTGTAACTCTGGGAATGACTGAAAGGGAGGGAGCCTTGTCTGCAGACAAACAGCAGAGCCGGTGGATGAGGAGGTCTGAGCCTAGCCAAGAGGAGAAGAGGGTGTTCCCAGAAAAGGCTTTGGATCCAGAAAGTCTGTGTATCTGGAATTCGGAGTGAATACATGAAGAATTAACTTTTGAGAACCAGTGAGACAGCAATCACCTCTGATCCTGGGCTTTGAAAAATCACCACGATTATCTCATGCACAGTGGTTTTCTCCTGGCTTACTTACAAACAAGGCAATAACGCCTGGTGGGAGACTACAGAGTCCCAGTGAGGAAGGACCAGTGGAGGAGCTGGAACAGCGAAGGCAACCAGGAACAAAATCCATCGTCCTTATCATACAAAGGCATTTGTAAATGTCTCCTTGCACATAGCGAGCATGTGGAGTGCTCACCATAGAAAGACAGCAGGGTAAGTTTTACAAATCTGGACTGGGTAGGTCAGAAGCAAGGCATGGCCAGAATGCCAGAGGGCAGAGGAAAGGTGAAGGAGTAGGATGGGAGCAAAGATGCAGTGCTTGGAGGTTGGTCAAGGGCTGCAGTTTTGGGGTAGTGCAGCTCTAAGTTCCATTGCTCAGGGAGAAACGTGATTAGGTAAGATGGCCTTGCCGGGAGCTGTCCCATTCTGCCTGATGACAGCCTGTTGGGCTGTGAGTGAGGTGGGCTGTCCACCTGGGTTCTGCAGCTAAGCCCAAAGCTAGCTGAAAATAGGGGGAGGGGAGGGCAAGACAGGGAGCAGCAAGAGTAACATGGACAGGGACTCCTGGCTGGGGGACCTGGGGGCCCCCTGCCATCTCTGAGCTGGGGTTGCGACAGTTGTCTGGGTCAGCAACCCCACCTGCCCACTGAGCCTGCTGAGGATATCCTAGCTCTGTTTTGTTTTTTTTTTGAGTTGGAGTCTCACTCTGTCGCCCAGGCTGGAGTGCAGTGGCCGCTCCCGGCCACTGCAGCCTCGACCTGCTGAGCTCTGGTGATCCTTCCGCCTCAGCCTTCCACGTAGCTGAACTACAGGCACGTGCTACCACGCCCGGCTAATTTTTTAATTTATTGTAGAGATGAGGTCTCACCAAGTTGCCCAGGCGGGTCTCGAATCCGCGGGCTTGGGCAATTCACTCACCTCAGCCTCCCAAGGCGTGGGATTACAGGCTGAGCCACCAAGCCCGGCTCAGAGCTCTGTTTTAAAGTGCGTATGCACAAGGGGATGGGCTTCACCAGTAAGACGCTCCACGGGCCAGGTCCGGGCCCAGCTGAAGAGCAGACGAGGAGAAGAAGCACTTGAGGGAGGATAGCTCTTGGCTAGTTGGTGTTCAGTGACTGCTCAGCAGTGGACAAGCTGGGTTGTGGAAGGCGGCCCACACCCGGCAGACCCTACCCTTCTACCCCCACCTTCCCGGAACCTGGAGCAGCAGGGAGGCAACCACAGCCTCACCATGTTTCTACCCTCCAAACTGTCCGTGTTGCTTTGGTGCAGTCACTGCAGTGATCCGAATGGTCTTTGGCAATCATCCATTGGTGGGAGCATGAAGCTGCAGGGAAAGTGGAGGACTGACCCTGGGTGGGGAGGCCTGGCCTCTGTTCCCACAGCCAGGAGGGATAGTCAGAGCTCTTCCTTGTTGCTGTCGAGAGACTGGACTGGAGGCTCTGGAGCCACGGGGGGACCTAGTGGTCCAGGGTCATCAGGTCGCTGGCTGCTGCCCTCCGGGGGCTTGCCCGCTGCAGCCTGGTCCGGCAGGAGCCTGCTCTCCACTCTGTGCTGCCGAAGGCTCTCGGTGCTCACAAGCCCCTGCATTCTCAGGTACCCCTGCTGGCAAAAGGGCGGCAGCTTCTGGTGTGTCAAGGCGAACAGGAAGCAAGACTCTACCATGAAAGAAGGAGGAGGACGAGTGAGGCTGGGAGGTGTGGGTAGCGGTGCAGGAAGAGGCGCTCCAGTGCCGGGCGTGGGCAGCTCACTGGGGCCTCACCTGTGCCCTGCATCCCTTGAAACTGGGAGCTGACGTCCAACCTGAGAAGGTCATGGATCGTGACCTGCCAGGAGGCTCCACAGACAGAAGGCTGCCTGGATGTTTTGGAAGAACACGTCTCCGAAATGAAAGCAAACCACAGAAATGACTCAGCTTCCAGAGACAGGGCCCAGCTCAACGCTCTGCTTGGAGTAAGATTGGGTGGGGGCTCAGTTCTCATGAGCAGACCCTCGGCCTTCTCTTCTGGAAGCTGGCACGGGCGTGGCTGGGAAATCAGTGGTCAGTCCCATTATGAGCTCAGAGCTGTCTGCAAAGTACATTCCCTCAACAGTATTTGAGCTGCAAATACTGTGTGCAAATTTCTGATCTGAACACTGATCTGAACATCTGAATAGAAAGGTAAAACAGGTGAATTCTCTTCTGTGCCACTGCAGAAAGGTGGTGCATACATCTAATCTAATCAGTCACAACATAGCTGTGGATAGTTACTTTATTTTTTTTCCCCAAGATACGGTCTTGCTCTGTTGCCCAGGTTGGAGTGCTGTAGTGTGGTCACGCCTCAAATACCTGGGCTCAAGTGATCTTTTGGCCTCTGCCTCCCAAGTAGCTGGGGCTACAGGTGTATGCCACCATGCTTGGCTAATTTTGTGATTTTTAAAATGGTAAAATGCCAAAACGGAAAATTAAATGAGATAATCTTAGCCAAAGAACAGTTATTTTAACATTGCTTAGCTTTGTCATGTTTTTCTAGCAGTTTAATTTACTCTCTAGTCATTAGCCAAGGACAGAATCATTTTCCGAGAGATAGCTATTGATAATTTATAACCCTCTTCCCCAAGCCTGCTTTATACTATTTTTTTTTTACTCCAAGTTGTCTTTTAGCCATTAAGAACCAGGATGACCTAGCAACATAGACCCCATCTCTATGGCAACAGTTATGTGACAAACCCACCCATCTGCCTGCCCCTTCGTGATGACTTAAACCAGACTACCACCAGGCATGGTGGCTCATGCCTGTAATCCCACCACTTTGGGAGGTGGAGGTGAGAGGACTGCCTGAGCCTAGGGGTTTGAGACCAGCATTGGCAACATGGTGAGACCTCATCTCTACAAGAAATTAAAAAATTAGCCGGGCATGGTGGTGCATACCTGTAGTTCCAGCTACTTGGAAGGCTGAGGGGGAAGGATCACCTGAGCCCAGCACGTCAAGGCTGCAGTGGCTGTAAGTGTGCCACTGCACTCCAGCCTGGGCGACAGAGTGAGACTCTGATGCAAACAAAACACACACACAAGCCGGGCTCGGTGGCTCAGCCTGTAATCCCGCGCCTTGGGAGGCTAAGGTGAGTGGATTGCCTGAGCCCACGGGTTCGAGACCCGCCTGGGCAGTGAGACCTCATG